AACTATAGACAACCATTTTATAAATTCTTAGCGCGTCAAGTAGGGCGCTGGGAGTGGAGATTTTGCATCACCTGACCCCAGCATTTACGGCACGAAGCCCTATAAGTAGCGCAACTTTTCCCTTCACATTCCTCGACTCCGATTCTCGACGCTCTCAATGAATTTCAAGTTCTGGGTTGCGCTGGCTCTGGGATGCACTGCGTCTTCCGGGCTCATCATTGATCAGGCGACGGACTTGTCGGGATTGAACCTCACGTTTGATTTTGTAGTGATTGGAGGTAAGGGTCTCGTATCCCAGAAACTTGGCTCATTTGTTTTCATTTGAAGGTGGTACTGCTGGGAATGTCATCGCGAATCGTTTATCTGAAAACGAACACACCTCAGTGCTTGTCTTAGAAGCAGGTGGATCGTAAGTTCCACTTCTCGTCTCATAATTACGGCTGTCATGGATGATTGCATAGAAACGAAGATGTTCTTAATATCATAGTTCCCTTTTTCGCCCCACGCGCAACTCCACACACAGCTCAAGATTGGAACTATACAACGACAGCCCAAACCGGACTGGGCGGCCGGCCAATCCCATACCCTCGGGGATTTGTCCTGGGCGGCAGCAGCTCCGTCAGTACGTCTGGTACCGTTCCCTAGCATAGCAAAAACTTGATGGTGATAAAAGACTCCATGGCTTATACGCGCGGATCGAAGGATGATTACGCCCGTTTTGCGCGGGTCTCCGGGGACGAAGGGTGGTCCTGGGATAAATTGATCCCGTATATGCGAAAAGTTGGTCCTTGTAAGATCATATCCGCGCACCACAGTGACATGGCATGATTTGTAGAACGAAAGATTCAGTCCGCCTGCGATGGATCCCAACTCCACAGAAAAATTCAATCCAGCCGTTCACAGTTTCAATGGAATCAACAGCGTCAGCCTACCAGGATTTCTCCGGGACACCGACGCACGGGTCTTTAAAACGACATCGGAGCTAACTCATGAATTCCCATTCAACCTCGACATGAATTCTGGGGCTCCACTCGGCATAGGTAATATCAGTGCATATTCTGAGGACCCGAACTTAATGCTTTTTGCAGCGTGGACCCAGTCGACAATCAAAAATGGCTCGAGAAGTAGTTCTGCTACATCGTACCTGGCACCACAATATATTCGACGCCCTAATTTGCATGTCATGTTGAACACAAGGGTCACGCGCGTTCTGCGAACTGATCCTGGCCCACAATCCGCTTTCCAGACTGTTGAATTTGCCTCGAGTGCTGGGGGTAAAATCGTTGTTCATCTCTTCAGAGGGCCTTTTGCTTAAAAGGGAAATATAGGAACCGCTCGCTTCCAAGTAACCGCCACGAAAGAAGTAATTCTTTCCGCAGGAAGCATTGGGACACCACATATACTGATGCATTCCGGGATCGGTGATTCTCAAAGTTTAGCCTCCGTGGGCATCACGCCGGTCCACGACCTCCCATCAGTCGGCAAGAATCTCACTGATCACCCCTTCGTGCGGATATCCTGGCTTGTCAATTCCACCAAAACTTTCGATGATGAAGAAAGGAATGCTACGGTCGCAGCTCAAGCCTTCAATCAGTGGAACACAACCCGAACTGGACTTCTCGTTGATGCTGCATCGAGTCAGCTGGGATGGTTGCGGGTGCCCGATAACTCATCCATATTCCAGAATTCCTCGGATCCATCGGCGGGCCCCCTCAGTGCGCATTTCGAGCTGCTTTTTGAGGTTCGTTCTCTTGTCTTGATATTGTTATGCCGTCACTTAAAATCACACAGAATGGCATAGTCGGCACGCCCCCTCCTACGGGAAATTACTTGACAATCTCAGCTGCTGTCGTCTCTCCTACATCTCGTTAGTTCTTCCTTTTAAACGAGGATGTCGAATCACTCACCAGATCCTTCAGGGGGCTCGGTCACCCTGAACAGCAGCAACCCATTTGACCCGCCGGTGATAAATCCTAATTTGTTGGGGGCAGAGCTGGATATTGCGATCTTGCGTGAGGCCTTACGGAGCGCCCAGCGTTTCGTGAAAGCTCCGGTATGGGCGGGCTATATCATCTCGGCGCTCAGCGTCAACGACACCGCGTCCGATTCCGAATTCGACACATTCCTGCGCGGCAATACAGGTAGTGAGGATCATCCCGTTTCCACGGCTGCAATGTCCGCCAGCGGCGCGGACTATGGGGTGGTCGACCCAGACTTGACCGTCAAAGGTTTGCGGGGGCTGCGGATCGTTGACGCGTCGGTTTTTGTATGGGTTCAATTTTTCGGCTGTGAAAAATGCTGACGCTGTAAAATAGCCTTTTGTTCCGGCAGCCCATACACAAGCAGCTGTCTATATTTTTGCGGAGAGAGCGGCAGATTTGATCAAGGCGTCGTTTGATATATAATTAAGTTTACCGTGATGCATACTAATAGCACTTGGCCACGACTGCGTCTACTCCTTACTATATGACTCTGTTCCCCTGAGGCTATTAGCGTGCGCATTGGAAACGTGGTTGAACCAAGTCCAAACAAGTCCAAACACAATGACCCCATCCTCGGCCGGGTTACGTATCCATTATCCAGTCGCTATACAAACCCTCGACGACCGGTATCTCGTTGTACATAGAGCGCGCGCTGTGATGACCGTCCCTGGATTTATGACCGACCTCATATGAGCACATACTCGATCGTTTCCTGTATTTCTATAACCCCACTAATTACAGATCCATTTGCGCATATGTATGGGATTCAGTTCAAAAATACCGCAATGCCTTTCGCCACTGATTTCCGGTTTTTTTTTTCGAATTACTGCACCATTCAAAACGTCTTCGTGGAGGAATATGAATTGAGATTCAACCGAGATTACAAACATTTTGTTTCTTTCGCGTGGTGTTCGATGGCGAGATTAGAACACATATTAATACTTTTGCTTTGCCGTTCCGCAGCTCCTACATCGTGCTTATTGACATTCTAGCACGGGAGCTGCGGGAGCGTTTTCCGCACGTCCAGCCCAGTTCTTGGCGAACTCGCTCTCAACCTCGATGGCAAAACGCACATTGCCATGTGAAATGCCGCACTTGTGCGCACCCACCCTCTACCAGCTTGCTGATCGGCCACACCCCCACCGCCGTAGGATTCTGAGAGTCCAAGTGGAGCTCGGTCCATTGCTGAAGTAAGGGTTAGCACTGAGTCCTCGACCGATATATATGGTGCGGAGCTGTATGGCTTCGGACCGGGAAAGAGCTATGTGAAATGCATGAAACACCAGCATTCGTTACGAGTGGTTTAATATATGTTTTGTGCTCAGCTTCAGCAAGCGGGGGAGGCGAGAAGACGGGCAGGCGCCGGCGCGGGGGGCCGGGCTATAGGCGTGATTGGAGCAACCATTGGCAGGGGACGACGCAGTGCGAGCATCCGATGAATACGGAGGAGCTTCTTTGCCCTCTCAAGCGTCTTGACAGCATGCATTTGCGTCGGAGGTAAAACACCAAAATCGTCGCCAACGAACTTCTGGTATTCGGTTTCAGTCTCGATTGGCGAGATGCATTTGGCCTCGGGTCAGTTTCTGAGTAAACAAGCTCACAGTCAAGTCCATATTGTAATTTTCTGGGGTTTTCCGTAGCACAATCTAGGCGTAAGGAGCGCCGCGGGCCAGGAAGACACAAACTAATATGGAGATATAACTTACGTGGTCGAACGATACATTTTGGGTGTTTTGAATGAACGCTACCAAGTCCTCGGCGGACGGGAAGGGAAGAATCCGTGTAAAGGCGAAACCTGCCCGGGGTGTCTCGTCACCGCGCACCATTGACATTCTGCAGACGAGAAGCCTCCATCCACGAGTGGATAATGGTTTAGTACTTGGAGAACTCGGATTCGACGAGTGGTGCCGTTACTGGTTCCGGCGGTGCGGCAGGGAGTGGAAGGACGGCGACCTGTTGTCACGATTGATACACGAGAGCCCAAAGCAAGGAGGAAGCCGGTCAAATCCGTTTGTCCTTGGCAGGCTGTTGGACAATCACTACAGTGGGTCTCGGGAAGATAGACCTTTTTTCCCTCGGCAGCGGACTGTTGGCAGTCACTACAGTAGGGTTGGGGAAGAAAGAGAGAATTTTATAACCTTTGGGGCGGCCACAGCTAGAGGAACGAGCTAGAATCGATAAAGCGTCTGTTAAGAGAGACTAGGCCACAGTTGCAGCCGCGGGTGACTCGGGTTGCAGGGAAGATGCAGCATATCTCTTCTGCTTAAGCTGAGGTAAAGACCGTCAGACCGTCTAGGGCTTGAAATGGGAATCACGAGACGGTTGCCGCGTCGGAGCGCCGGGCGAAACATGCAGAGCAGGGATTTGTTTGGCGCCCTTTACCAACACCTTCAGAGCACTGCCACTGATTTCGATGATCCGTTTGTTCTCCTCCAACCACTGATTATCCACAGAAAATCGCAGAACTTTATCCAGAATTATTAGCAGAGCCCTTGTGATAGCTGAGATGCCAGAACCAAGTTCAACTTGAAGTTAAATGCTGGTGACGGTGCTTGTGGTTGATTTGTACTCACACGAATGTAACGCATAGCGCGTATATAACGTCCATGTCATCTTTTAGTCGCTAAAATCTCGCTGTTGTCCAGATCAATACTCAGTTGAACCAAAACTTGAATCTTGGGTGTCGGGTATCTAGGAAGGTGCACAACACTCTGCACCTGTTTATCTTGAAGATGGTCCAGAAATAACCACGGCTTGTACTCACCAGTACCTCCGAGTCAGGCTGTTCGAAATTGAGCTTGCCTGAACGAAAATTTCGCGTCGATCCAGGTTCGCCTTGATATTGCGCCGTCAGTGTATACGTAGAGGTTACATATTCTCTGATATTGTTGGTCGGTCGAGCCCCGGACGGCGCTTGGTCAGTGCTTTTTTGCTCTTTTCTGTGTTTTGATTCTTCAAGTATCTATCGCACAGCCAGACATGTGAGGTATTTAGCCAACGACTGTCCTTTTAAACCTCGCGCTGTTAGTGTAGTGGTAACACACAACCTGCATCTTATGAAGAGCGAGCGAAATATACAGGTTGGGTCTTGGGTTCGAATCCCGGATGGCGCATTCCGGTTGAATGCTTTACTTATTTATTTTTAGTTTTCCCCCGTTTAACGTTCGACAACGGTGCAAATTGCTCATTTGAAAACGAAAGGCAATAGTTGGGACGGCGTCCGGCAGCCATCCCTTAATTATGGATGAATGCGTGATTGAGCGTGGGGTTCGACTGCACGGTCGATGGACATCAGTTCAGTTTTTTATCAAGGACGAGGAGCAGGGTCGTGCCCCAAGGACCAAGACAAATGTCTAATGTGGTTTTTTTTCTCTGCAGAAGAGTTCCGAAGGATATTTAGCGTCTCGGTATTCTCTTGTCATGACGTCAACCTGAATGCCAGAAGAACTTGGATCAGACCCTGGTCGGGGAGCGGGGATGAGCGGTGCAGAGTAAGTTGGCAAGAGATGCAAGACGTGCTGCCGCGGCCGGCCCGAGACCCGGTCAACTTTTCAACTTGAACCAAAGCTAATTTTGACGTCGAAAGTCGCTCTTGCACCCAAAAGAGGGGAGATTTAAGGATTGTACGATGAAGGCCTGAGACGTCTTAGAGGGGAACAACATCAAGTAATCGTTACATCGAAAATAATAGGACGGCGAAGGTCCCAGTCCCACAGACATTAAATTTCCGAAGTTAAAACATGTATGTGTCGGCACGCCATATATGCAGCGTATCCCGCACCAAATTGTCTCGACTGCATTTGGATGTGCATCAAGTATTCCACTCCACTTACCATATCAGCTCTATAATACCAGGATCAATCATGGGTACCACTGCTTGGGATCAGACTTTCCGACGCAATCCCAACTATTCCAATTTATCCCGAGTCTCACAGTATCCACCTGAGGAGGCCCCGTCGAGCTCCACGTCGCCATCGTTGGTTGATTTAGATCCCCACCCCATCGCCACGGTTGGTTGATTGAGATCCAGGACCAGAACTGATGATCAACGGAGGTGGATAACGCTCGGGATGATGCATCAGCCTGGTCTCTCTTGATAGATGCTTTATCGATACTAGCTCGTTCCTCGCTCGATAAAGTATTAGCCCTTGCCAAGCTATAAGGTCGAGGATGGCGGTGGAGCCGGGCCATGTATCGGTATGTAACAACCTTTAAATTTGAATCTCTGATGTGGTTGAAAAAAAATATCCGGCTGTGTATAGCCAGGTACCGTAAACTCGAACTTGCGGGCTGCAGGCGAGAAGGAAGAAAATTACGTATGTATGATTGGAATGCACGGGATGTTGAGGAAAATTTAGACCATGGTGCGAAATGTGTTCCGCCGTACCCTCATTCTGGAAATCTTAGGATACCGTATGCACCCCAGACTTCCCCGTGTTGCGGCCGGGCTCGATCTGCAAGTTTTATGTAGTATTTGACGACGGCGCGGCGAACCGGATGGCGAGATAATTCAACGCCGCATTGCCTAGAAGGTATGCATTTATTTGCCGGCCCCTCCGAGTATTCGCATGACGTGCGTCGGGTTTCTCCATTGGTACACACTGTCCATATGTCAATGTGCTCGCTTGAAGGTGGTTTGTTCGAATCTGCTCGACCTGTGCCACGTATCGTTGGATTGTCGAATTGTACGGCGTGTATCATGCTGCACAAGGTTGCTGATACATTAGCGAGGTGTAGGTGTAGCGGAGAGAAGAAAAGAAAACCAAGGGAGAAAATAACGGGCACTCGTGTTGAAATATTGACCCTCCGTCGCAGTAACGCTTCCCGAAAGCCAAAAAAAAACGACGCGAGGGAACGACAACGAAACTGTGGTGGCTCGGATGCAGGTTTTCTTCAGTCAAGAGTGAGTCGAAGAAGGAGCCGAAATCAGAAGAAGTCTTGTGAGCAAAGCACTAGCGAAGCCCAGGCCCTCCTCCTTCTCCCAAAATCTATTCTTAGCCTCCTTCTCTGACATTTGACACGCGCCTTCTGGCTTGGCATGACGTAGCGTTCTCCATCCGGCGCGTCGTGCGTTCCTCCATCGGGCGACTGGACCGGTGCGCCGAGGCCTTCTGCAATATTGATTATTGTAGCCATGCAATATTAATTACTGTAGCCACGTCGTCCTCCTGGAAATTGAATCCGGTCGCTCGTGGGCTGTCGTCGCCGAATATTAATCGATATTAATGATTAATCAGGGGCCTCACCGTCGTCGTCGGCGACTCCTATCCTGCCGGCGCCCGCAGACATGTATGACACTTGCGATACATTCGCCGCGATCGTCCCCTCCGGCGGCGGTCGATCGCGGATAGATGTGGATGTGGATGTGGATGTGAATTCGACCGCGTGAGTGTGAATGTGAATGTGGTGAAAGAGACACATTCACGTCGTTTACATTTATTCACCTCCACGTCCGCGTCCACATTCATATTCGCGATCTCTGTTCCATGAAATCTCTCCCTTGTTATCTGGACGAGAATCAGTGAGTAGGAGGCGCACAAACGATAATCCGCCTCGCGCGGGGGTATCGCGAACATTAATGTTCCCGCGCCTGTCGTGCGCCCCACAAGCATGCGTGCTGAAGATTGGGATGAGACAGACGCGAGATCAGGATAAGAAACTTGGATAAGACAGATACGACACAAAGAGAAATGCGAAGATTTCTTGAGGCCTGCTCGACCGAATGGCGAAATGAGCATTGAGCAGGGCATCGGTGGAGTTTGCCCACCGTGCTGAAACGTCTAGACGTCTCAGGTGGCACATGCAGTTAAAATGCTTCAAAGTGAGAAATCCAATACACTTACCCATGCTTACAGAGCCCGAGGCGCAGCCCAGGCTCGCCTGCGCCACCACGCAGCGAGCCCCACGGCGTCCGGGCGACGGAAGCATATTCATGTCAGCAGCTGCGAGCGCAGTGTGTAGCCGACGGTACCGGCCGGTAACGGTAACGCGGTGATTGGGTTGTCGAGATCTGCGCCGCGTCATGATGGCAGGGCGAACGGCTATGGTGGCGTGTTGGGGTTGCCGGAGTCGCAAGTGGATGTTTAGGATTTGGCTGCGTTGGTGTCGGGTAGTGAAGTTGTGTGCGGGCGGTGACAAGGATTGACTCGACGCCGGGGTGCGGTGTGGACTGATTTGCGTCGGTGCGTCATTGGCGTCGGCCAGTCAACTTTGGGTTGCCAGCTGCCAGCTGTAAAATGGAAAAGCGTGTTGGATGGATGGCTCGATGGCTCGAGTGTCGTATCAGAGTGTATTTGAGGACTGGCCGTTGAAACAGATATGGTGGTGTGGTGTGGACTTGAAACCAGTTTTAATTTTGTGGTGTGGCCGGTCACATGCGGTGATGTCATTTTCTGCAAAGTGCCATCGGTGGGGACTCCTTTGCACCACAGTCACGGCGATGAATCCCTCAACTCATCCACCACCTCACCGCAGAAAACTTACAAGACCTCCAGACCACGACATGCCCAGGAATGAAAACCCTAAAGGTTAGTCCGCAAACATATCTTGGAGCTTGCCTTTGTCAGTGCATCCGGCGGATTGGGCGGCTTCGGGCGGCTTTGGGCATCTTGGGCAGCTTCAAGGCCTTCAAGGCCTTCCTTCAGTTTCTCGCAGCCCTGGGGTTGCTGAAGGCCTGGACAGTGCTCCATATGCCGCCCCGCTTTTGGAATTGCACGACTTGGCGAGATCGTGATATTCCGCGTGCTTCACATCCGGGGTTCTAACCTCTCTTTCAAATCAGGTACCGCTGCAGCCCTTAAACGACCAGACCCCCCGCGCCATTCCTCCTCCTTTTCCAAGCGCCACGCCTCCTTCAACTCCCCGCGCGAAGTCCCCCTCCCGTCGTCGCAGACTGGCCCCTCACCGCCGAGCCCCATGCGCACCGACGCCCCGGCCCCGTTTGCCCCCGTCTTTAGCTCAGACGACGATGCAGACTGGGAGCTCATCTCCTCCGGGCCCGCAAAGCTCCACAAGGACAAGGGCAAGGACAAGGGCAAGGACCGCGCAAAGGCTGCACCACCACCACCCATCGCCGCAGCTCCTCCACCCGCGCCCCCACCCCCGCCGTCCTCGTTTTCCAAAAAAGTGGGCTCCACCATCCTCCCCTTCTCACGCCCCTACTCCCTGCCGGAAACGCACTCGTACCAGGGCCGTGCTCCCGCCGCCAAGGGCCCCCCACCCTCGGGCGTCGACCGCACCTCGTCCGCAAGCCTCCCTCTGCCCCTGCAAATCCCTTTCTCCGCCCTCCCCAAGGCGTCGACCACCCGCCCCGCCCCGCCCTCCCCCGTCCTCGAGCGCGCCGAGCGCCCCCCACTCCCGAACAGCAGCAGCTCGGGCTCGGGCTCGTCCGGCAGCCTCCCCTCCGCGCCCGCCTCGCGCAGCCCCACCCCGTCCCATCCCCCCACCCCCACCTCAAATTCCACCACCGCCCGCGCGCCGGCGCTGGCCTACCCCTCGCGCCGCGGCGCCGCCCCCATGCCGCCGCCCGAGCTCACCACCTCCAACTCGGGCAGCGTCGCCTCCTACCGCCCCCCGCGCACCTCCTACACGCCCGCGCCCCCGCCCTCCTCCTCGTCGCTCGACGTCGACGAGCCGGGCGCGACCGCCATGACGCGCTCGCCATCCAGCCGCAGCGCCGCCTCCTATCCCCCCCCAGAGCCGCCCGTCATCCTCCCCAGCGCGGAGGGCGGCGGCGTGGCGCCGGACCCCGAGGCGCCCTCGGGGAGCACGGGGACAGGCGCGCCGAGTAATAGCAATAATAGGGCGAGCAGCAGCAGCGGGGGCACGCGCGCGAGCCGCGCGTCGTACGAGCCCTTCCTGAGCCACGCGCCGCCGCCCGTCGACAGCTGGATCGAGGTCGAGACGACCCCGGGCGAGTATAGGCTTATTGTGCGGTTGCCCGGGTTTAAGCGCGATGGGATGTATGTCTTCTCTCCTCTACCCCCCCATTCCCTCCTTCTTACTGATATACTTTTACTGATATACTTTTACGTTGATAGTACACTGGCGACCAAAAAACGGCGCATCCTGCACGTCGTCGCGGACTCGTGGGAGCCCGAGTCGGGCGGGCACT